CTACACACGCCCCGACTCTCTAAGATGCGCCGATCTCTTCCCGCGCTTATAACTCCGGTAAATGTATCTGCTACTCGAACTGGAAGCTCTCCACTCCTCCATAACTTTCCCTCCCGGTAAATATTACGCCAGGAGAAGAATAGAATGGTTCGTGTCGCTTTTGTCGGGAGCTATTTTTCAAAATGCAAAATTGCACGTGTATTATACGGGCGAATCCTCGCCGATATTTTTCGATTACGAACCGTATTACAAGTATACGCGATACGATGGGCCGATATACGTGTCCTCGGTGAAAAACCGATGTGTAATTCTACAGGTGAAATTTCATCAACCTATTTTCCAATTACTCTTGCTGATCTCGATTCGATGGGAACTGAGAATATATTGATTGTTCGATTACACGGATAGGTACATTGAGTGGCTCGCATGCGTGTGCGGGGCGAGCAGAGTTGCACTTCGTTCATCAAATTTATTTTCACCGTTCAAATGAATTGCTAATGCAAGCACGGGAAGGAATAGTGTGGATCCCGATCGTGTGAAATATTAAAATGTTCCCGAATGGGAACTGCGTGTACATGTTTGGAAATTGAAGACACATTCGTTGTTCGTTTCTTTTTTTTTTTTTTTCCTTCTCCCCACGCTTTATCGTCGAATTATTCGTTTCAATTAGATCGAACGCTAGATGTAACGCGATTCGATGATCCGACATCGAAGCGCAAAGCAACATTTGCACGAGTGAATATCGATTTATTCATCCTCCATTTATCTCGTTTCGCGAAGATAAATTACAAATGCGGTCAGAATACTTTGTCGAGTAATATGTGAGTAATAAAGAGCAAATGTAATGAAATCTTCGTAAAAGCATGCTTCACAGAAACACTCATCCGATTGATTAAACATTATACATGATATTTCGATTAACGATATGAATTAAGTGGAAACGAACCGGAGAACTATTTCCGGAATATCGTGCGATAACGCGTTAATGCATCATTAATATAAAATATTATTGTAATACGCATAATCGTAAATTTTTCAAAGTATTTGATTAATCTAAAAGTCGTCTGACGGATCAAATAATTAATGTATTATAATTTATGTAAATTATACGGATTATATTAATGAACTTACGTTTACCGTCCTAACTACCATTTCTTTAGATTCTGGATTAACTTCACTCCATTCACTGGCAAAGTATGGACCTTGATGACCAAAGAACTGAAACAAAAAGAAATAGAATTTTTTTTAACAAAAATTCCACATCATTGAAAAAGTAATGAAAAGTAATAAAATAAAGTATAAGTGATAACAGAGTTGAAAGAACATTAGTGCTAAAGTATTCAAAAAAATAAAATAAATCAAACTACGATTTATATAAATATCTAATTGCACGTGAAAAATATACATATTTTCTTTTATGAGATTTTAAAAAATATACACAAATGTTTAAGAGAATATGATTAATAAGTGAATCATGTGAAAGTTGCTGTCCAAAGGTCGTTAATGAGAGAGAATCGATTACAGAGAATCGATAAAAATTAAACGATAAAAAAAAACAATGAAATAAAGAAAAATAATTTATGTAAAATACACATGTTCATATAACAATCATAAATTCTTTAGATTTATTATCATTACGTGATAGAAACACGTAACAAAACTAATTTAATTTTATCGATGTAAGATTTAATTATCGATATACAATATTTATATTGAAGAATTAATTATCAAATTAATTTAACAGAGTTCAAAAAGCCAAGCTACGTGTCACGCCTCTAATTAATTATATTTCTCTGATTAATTATACTTTAATTGCGCGACCCAGTCAATTATTACAATGTCTATAAAGTCACACCCGCATCGGTAACCGTTCCAATATCCAACGCGACTTGTTATTCGAGTGCATCTGTTAATTAGTCAGAAATTTTCGTCGATGCGGCAGTTGGCTCGACAAGCTTTATTCCCGGTTGAGGTGGAAGGGAAAAGAAGAAAAAAATAATAACAGAAATAAAAAAGTAAGAAAGAGAAGGAAAGGATTGCTGTTAACTCAAATTAAAACGAGGCTTTGCACTTTCCCTTCCCGTCAAGTAATTTCAAGAGTGCCTAAATGCGAAGGCGATACCTTCCTCCTCCTTTTTCTTTCTTTACTTCCGCCTACTATGCATTCGTTACGAAACTGTGATTCGAGGCATTCGAGCGAGAGAGCCGGTACAACAGGACAGCTTTGCCAAAGCTTATAGAAAATCCTGCGAAAGGAAGCAATTCGCCGAGCCGAAAAAGATTCGAAGCTCGAATCTCCCTGTAGAGACCGGAGAAGAAACAGGGATGAAGGGAGTAGTCCTAAGGGAGATTCCGATATATATATTCCAAAATGCAAGCGCCTGGCTGGATGATTGCCAAAGAGCGTAACATCGGTGGAAGCGCTCATTATGAAAGTTGATACGGTCGGTGTCGTTGTTTTGTAATTCCCTCTTGCTTCGAGCTTGAACTCGCTTTCGCACACCTTCTTCTTGCACCATGTTGTCGAAAGTTTCGAATTTCCTGCTCCTGGCTACTGCCGCTGTTTGTATAGATTGCTTGGTCAAACGGCAGTGAACTGTTTTGTCTATAAACTACTGCCAGGTAAAGGAGGGATGCATAACCCCGCGTGCAGATTGATTTCTTATGATATCCAAACTTTGAACAAACTCCACTGTTCGGGTAAATGGATGTAATATGGATAAAGCGAAAATTATATGGATGGATAAGTGAAAAATATAAAATGGGAACGGAATATATATTTATTATTTTTATTTTTAATATTAATATTAAGAATATTACAAGTTATCGGCTTTAAAAAAAAGAAAAATCTGATATTAACGTTAATTATTTTGTTGTATCAATATTAAAATTATGTAATAAATATGTGTTACATAATTGATGATTGATTACCATTTTTTGATATTAGAAATGCATAATTCATTTAAAAAAAAATTGAAACAACGTCAAAAAAACTCTACACGTGTCAAATATAAATCTATGTATTTTTCAAAAATAATAAATTACGTAAACATGTTATTATTATAAACATGTCTTACTTAGTTTGCATTAAACGGCACTTCGCCAATCACTTACGTATGCAATGCACGTAATTACTCGTGACATAGTGTCGTCCAATACTATAAATGTAATTACAAATTCACATATGATTTCTTAATATTTAAAGTTAATCTCGAAATAAAAATAATCTCTTTGCGCTTTGAAATTGAGAAAGAATCAAAGGTCGTTTCGATAGAAAACGCAGCAAAGCGTAAATAAATTTGTAATTTATCTATGAAAATTAAAATTTTGCTTAAAATCGATAATATGAATAAGCTTTTAGCAAGGTTAACATTTTCCTCATTTCTATATTTCTCTGCTTTCATCAGCCAATAAAAATTTAACCTTGAAAATTATGAGTAACTTTAAATGATATCAGCGCTTATGCGGCTGATAGAAGAACTAATGGAAACGAATGGAAAATTTACAACGATGAATGGAATTTTATTTTACCAACAATTAATTATGTGTTGAAAACAAAAGATTTTATTTTCCAATAAAGGTTATTAAAATATATAAAACAAACAAATATATTCAAAATATTATTAAAAACCATAAAAACAAATCAAGTACATATATTGATTATTTCAAATTTCTTTCTTTGTAACTTCATATATAAGAAAATGTCATATATTAAATATTATTATTAAGTATGTGTAAAATAAGATAATAATAAATAGATAACATGATGATATGATAACATTAAATAAAGTTGAATAGCATAATTAATAAAATTAATAAAATTATTTCTAATTTAAAATGTTAATATATTTAAAGATTTAATATTTTAAAAAAAGTTAAAATTTTTGTATAATCAATTGTGTTTATATATATTATATCAAAAATGTACAATATAATGTAAATATGATATCGCAATCTTCTAATTCTATTTATATGATTAAATTTCAATAATAAAATGTAAAAAAATATACATATATTTAGAAATCTATTTATTATTATAATTTTATTAAACTAAATTTATTTTTTAATAAATTTAATATAATTAATAATAACTTTTATATAACCTTTTTCAAGAGGTTATACTCATCATTATATAGTATAAATAATCTTAATAATTATCAATTTAAAAACACTTACTGGTAATATCCATGTAGGAAAACGCCATTGAGTGGTAACCAATCTGTGAGAATAAAGAACACCATCCTTAACTTTTCTATCGATAACATCCGTGCCCAAAACCGATGGATTTAAGGGATTTGGATATTTTCGGCATGCTGCTTTTACAACTGTTTCCCATGGATGACTATAAATGAAAAATATTAAAATTTCATGTATCACATAATTTATTTTTTAGTAAAAGAATGTCAAAAAACATTTTTATAGAAAAATTTAGAAAGTTAGAAATAAACTTGTACAAAAAACACTCACTCAAAAGTATGATGTGATGTCCACAACTTCATGTTTATAGAATTTTTTAGTATAACGTATGGAAAACACAATAATTTAAATTATTAACAATCATACGAAAACATTACACTTCGACACAGTGAGGCACGTTCACTGACTTCGAAACCTGATGTAACGTGAAAAAGAAAGCTTTCCACTGACTCTAATCTTTTATTGTATATCGATCCATCAAGAGTTGGTATACCTGTTTTCAGCAACCAATAAGGTTATTTGAATTAAATCTGATTGGTCGGCGGTTCCGCGCCGTTTTCTATCAATTCAAACGCAAAATTTTCTTGTCAAATTACATTTAATTTAATTATAATATTTGTTTTTCAATGCAGTAAATCATAGTTTTTGTTGTGTATTTTTTTTATTATATTTTTCCAAGTAGATTAAAAGATTTGAATTTAAATAATTTCAATACTTTTGTAATTTTAACATTTGTTTATACTTCGTATGTATAATAAATCGCGCGGTCATTTCATAATAGTGTCCAAGGCAAAGTGAATCGCAGTTTAATTGTTGATTATTGTTAATTGTTGTTCAAATTATAGCAAAAGTATCAATTTTGTGATTTTCTAAGTGATATATTCTAAGTTATAAATGAGACTTGTGTAGTGTTTGATTATTTTATTTGTTAAAATATATAAAGTAAAATTGTATACTCCAAATTTGTTTTAGAAGAAAGAAAGATTTAGAAGTCTTCTGAAAAAAAATTAACATGCAGTAAGCCAAGTGGTAAGTGATTTTCAACGTTTTCCTCTTTGGTTAACATATTTTCTTTATGAAATCCTGTAAAGAATATCAAGTAAAAATAATAAAATTTCATATTAAGTGTTTAACATCTTACCAAAAGTAGCATGAATTTTTTCTTGTCCTGATCTATCTCTAATATGTAATGGTACTGCAGGCTGTGGGCCTTTATGATTCATAATAATATTTTCAGCGCGTTTTAATGCATTATATACAAGTTGAGATTTTGGTGCTCTAGTCAAATATACAACACATTGAGTTAAAATCACATCGCATTCTGGCATTCCAATCATTTCACATCCATGCAGAGTATGAATAGCTATGCCTAGAAATAAAAATTAATTGTATATATTATAATACTTAATGTGAATATCGAATCATTCTACAAAATATATACCTAGAGCATCTAAATCTGCTAAACCAACATCTTCACTTGATATTCTTATTAATCTTCTTGCAATATCTACAGGATCTTCTTTAACTTCCATAATTCGTGCTAACCAATATAAAGATGCATTTTCCTTACCAGCTTTTATTGATTTATGTAAAGCAGAATATAAATGATGTATATTGTTACTTTCTTTATCAGATAACATATGTGCTTGTTTAAGACTTTCTTTAACATCTTCTAAAGTTATTGAAACAAAATTAGAATCTAGTCTATTTGATATTTTAATTTTAATAGCCAATTCTAAACCATTCAATGCAACACGAGCATCTCCATCACATACTTCTGCTAACCAGTCAATAGCTATCTTATTAATAGAAAAATGTGGTTTAGAATTAAAATTTAAATTATTTTCTAAATTAGTTGACAAATTTTTGAGAGGAAAATTATATATTTCTCCATTAATTGATAAAATTGCTTTACAAAGAATTTCTACAATATTTAACATTGTTAATTTATTTAAAGCAAATATACGGCATCTACTTAGTAAAGAAGAATTCAAACTATAAGATGGATTCTCTGTAGTTGTGCCAATTAAAGTAAATATGCCTGTTTCAACATGTGGTAAAAAAATATCTTGTTGGAGTTTATTAAAACGATGTATTTTATCCATTAATACAATAATTTGATTGAATTTTGATTCGGATTTTGTCGTACGAATAATGTTTTTGATGTTACTCACACCAGAAGATGTTGCAGAAAGATTTATGATATTTACTTTCTCTCCATGCATTTCTTTGCTTAGTTTTGATATAATATTAGTTAAAGATGTCTATAAAAGTATTTCATAAAATTAATATTAATAATAATATTTAAAATATGATAAAAAATAATAATTACTTTTCCACATCCTGGTGGACCCCAAAATATCATACTAGGAATATGACCTTTTGTTAATAATTGTTGTAATATTGTATTAGATCCAACAACTTTTTCTTGTCCTATATAATCGTGAAAGCATACAGGCCTCATTTTTTCAGCAAGAGAAATGAATTCTTGGTTTTGTACTGATTGCTGTTGATTCATGTTTTTTATATTAATCAATGTGTTGGTTTTATATTTTTTAATGAATTTATTTCATTAATCTTCTTTTATAAAACAATTTCTTTGGCGTTTTCTTTGGTATTTCTTGTGATATTTCGTTTAAAATTATATCCTTTAAAAAAAGTATAAATCAACATGATTTTCTATTTTTTACATATTAAAATTTTTTTATATACTATACAATGCATCATAACGATACAATTTGAATTTCTTTATTTTCAAACAATTCCTAATATTTAAATAAGTTATTTATTATTAAAGTATAGGTTATTTTGTATAATATGAATATTAGAAAAATGCAAATTATTTTAATATTTTTTTTTTATTTTAAAAAAAATATTATTTTTAAAAACTGACAATCGCCAGTAAAATAAATCATCGCACCATCTATTGCTTATCGTACACGTTTCAATATAAATGCACGTGATTCATTTGTAGTTGAGTTGACTTTAATTTTAAATTAAATTATATAATATGTAATAATTTAAGATAAAAATTCAGATAATGTTCTTTCAAGTAAGTTGAGATTGATAGAAAATATTAGGATAATATTCTGTATTACCAATAATATCTCTTTTTAGATTTCTCATCAGGAGAAATAATTATTCACTTTATACAACATGTCAAACTCGTGGAATAGGAACAATTATCGTCAACAACAAGAAGCATTTATTTCTGGTCATGGTGGAACAACATCCAGAGAAGTTATATATGCTATTATGCCAAATATTTGTAGTATTTTATTGACTACAACTATAATAGGTCTTTTCAATGAGGTTATCCATAGAAATATTAGAGTTTTAATAGAATTTGCATTAATTGTAATTCCATCTATTTTATGTTGTACCATATTATCCGAATATGTTATTACTGTTTGTTTTATTATGATGGCAATATCTGCTATTAATATTTTAATATTAGGATTTAATTTGAATTCTTTACCAAATCACACGAGATCTGTTTGCGGCAAAAAGCCTTTCATTACAAATTTTAGAGCATTAACTAACATAATAACAGCAATATGTATATTAGCTATAGATTTTCATATTTTTCCTCGTAAATTTGCCAAAACTGAAATATTTGGATATAGTTTAATGGATTCTGGTGTTGGATTATTTATATTAGCTAATGCTTTAGTAGCTCCAGAAGCTAAAGACTTTACTCCTAAACCTAGAATAGGATTTTTTCATACTATATCAAAAAATATAAAATATTCAGCGAGAAGTTGTATTCCATTATTGATATTAGGTTTTGGTAGATCTGTTGCAATTGAAATTTTGGGATATCAAAAGCACATAACTGAATATGGTGTTCATTGGAATTTTTTTATAACTCTTGCTTTTGTTAAACTATTTACTAGTTCTATAACAAGTACCATCAATTCAAAATACTCATTGTTATCAGGAATATGGATTTTAGGGATGCACGAATATGTTTTGAGTACTAAGGGATTGAAAGAGTGGGTTTTAAGCAACAAACCAAGAGATGATTTTGTATCTGCTAACCGGGAAGGTGTAGTATCTGTTCCTGGATATGTTGGACTTTATCTAATAGGTGTAGCAATTGGTAGATTAATTCATTCCACTTATCAGAATTCACAAGCACAAAATCCATTGCATAAACTTAGAGTAATTCATATTAAATTGTTTGGATATGAATTTGATGCAAATTATAATGAATCCATGATTTTATGTATTAAATTATCTTTAATATCAGCTCAAACTTGTGCAGCTACTTTATTTTGTGACACCTATTTTAGAGTATCTAGACGTTTAGCAAATGCAGGATATTGCATGTGGATTCTCACTTTGGGTGTCATGATACTTACATTATTGCTATTGATAGAAATAATATCCGATATATTAGTTTATAAAAATATAGATTTAGAGTATGATCAAAAGAAAACTAAAATACAAAAAACGAATATAAAAAATAAACGAGAAATCGCATCTGATAAATATGAGAAAAACGTAGCAGAAAATACCATCGAAATATTCGAAGCTGTTAATTACAATGGTCTAATTTTCTTTTTATTTTCAAACTTAATGACTGGTGGTATTAATATGTTAGTACGTACGTTATATATAAATGAATTAAATGCTGTGCAAATATTGATCGCATACATGGCTGTAAATGTATTGTCAGTTTTATTATTGTACAGAAAACAGGTACAAATTAAATTATAAATAAAACGTGCAACATGTACTAATTGCACACTGCAATGTATGCAATTTTCTACTTTATAAAATTAAATTACGAATCGGCGTAAACAATTAACTTCAAAATATTTACACTGCCATTGCATAGACATATCATATTGTATTTCATATTTATTGCTGCTTCTTTTTTTTTTTTTTAATTAAAATAAGTATGTACATATATATGTATAAAAATAAGTAAAACATTTAGTTGGTAACAAATCGTTTCATTCATTCGATATTAAGTCTAATAATCTTATTAGAACCTATCATTCAAATGTTTCGTTGTCATCGAAATAAATTATCTAAAATATTCATTATAATTCATCTTTGGATTGAATATCAGATTTTAATTCGGTTACTTCTTTCGATTTAGAAGTTGCACTTTCTTTTACATTACTCATTGCGCTAGTTTGATTTTTCATTTCTGTTCTCTTACGTTGCGCATTTTTAGCGACAAAGTTTTTAAACGAATCATGATTTTTTACATAATCGGTAGCTTGTGAAACTATACGTAAAAATTCTTCAACATCGAAACTGTAATTCGTGAATTTTGCATGCGCTCCTCCATCAGGATGCGTACCCTATTTAATTATTTTCACAATAAGTGTCAAATGAAATTTTTTATTTAAAAAAAAAATAATTACTTACAGGATCTTGTTGCACTAATTTCGAATTATTTTCCCATGTAAAGTATTTTACACCACGCAAACGAGCTAGATCTTTATAACATCCTGGATCTTCGCAATTATATCTATATAATAATAATGTGTGAGATGAATTTTCTTAGGGAAAAAAAATGTTCAATCATACATACATTTCAAACACTGCTGCCCAATCTGGCAAAAACATAAGATGTGTTAATCCAGCTCCATGTATACCAATAAAGATATCAGAATTTCTTGTGATTTCTAATTGTTTCTTAAATGATATTTTTTTATTATAAACTACCTATATAAAAAAAAAAAAAAGAATTTTTCATTATACTTCTATTCATTTTAGATATTTATATCATTTGTGTGATCTTTAAATCGATACCTTTTTCACTTTATATAACGGATTTTCTTTCAAAGCCCTCACCAATTCGTCCTCGTTCAGAATTCTTCGATATTGAGTATCTCTGCTAAGCAGAGTAACTCTTATTCTTTGGTTTTTCCTTTCATGGAGAGGTATGCGCAATCTATGCAACACATGTTCACCGAAAGCTTTGAACAATCCACTGTTCTCACAGCCGTAAATCTAAAATCATGTTCATCGATAAAAATCAATCGTACGACTCATTTTTGCGATCATCGATTAGAAAAAAAAAAAAAAAAGTAATCGTACAAGAGGTGTATTATAGTATAGACCAAAAATCATGCGCGGCAATAAGGGGAATACGAGATTCTTGAAACAGACGGTTTCTCCTCGGAATGTTTTTAAATCCCACAGCGGGTTTCTCGTGAAAGCCTCAAAAGCATCTTGAAACGCAGAACGATAGCTGAAAGTAGGAGAGAACTCATTTAATATCTCGAGGTTTTTCTTTTTCGCAATCGGTGTCAGTTACCTGTAGCTTTCCCAAATCATTATGTGATTATCAGTACTGAAGCCGGCTGGATGCGAGAGATTTACGTGCAATGACGCGTATAAGTTGAAAAAGTCGCAGAAATGATGATACATGTTTACTACTGAAACAGAACGACTTTGACAAATGAACGAGATGCGGGATATTCGCTAATTTGACAGATTTTACGACACCATTGTTGATCATGGCTGTCATTCCGACTCATCCTTACGACTTACTAGCGTCTATTTTCATTACGAATGTTGGCTTCTCGATCACGATATCGCAATCGTGATTGACGATTGGTGGTCGAGATAACTTGCGGAAATTTCGTAGTTCAGGTCCCCAAGATTGCAATGGACTAATATGATCCGCGTTCTCTTCTAATCTTTTTTCGTTCAATCTGGATAAACGAGAAAGATTTAAATTTTTATTCGTTGCTTGTTAATATGTTTTACTCACGTGCAGTATCCTCCAATTTGACCTTCTTTTAACACATCCATCTTGTACCGTATAGGTTCCTTCCTTCTGATCAGATCCGTGAAATTGATCATTATATTCCTTGCTCGGCAGAATCTCATGTGTTCCGAGCATTCCAGAGACGAGTCGTCCTGCAACGATCAAAATTATGAGAAATAGGAATTGAAGAACAATCGGAACTGTGTCTATAAAACTTACCACAAACAACGGTTCGCAAAAAATCGACATTTCTTTTCTTTGATCGCGTACGTAGCCAAAGTCGCCTTGAGCGTAAAACGTCTCTACCTGTGCTTTTTTCGTAGTCACCCATCCTCTGTGATCACCTGGACATTGAGGAACGGAAAAAGAATTTTCGTCTTTGCAATTCGGCTCGTAACCCCAACAAGCTTTGGTATCAAGGCTATCCTAAGTTTTTCCAAGAAAAATTCTTCGTTAATATTCACCTTTTGTCAACTCGAATTATTTACAATTCGTTCACGTGTGCAAAATCCCCGATGCTTCCACGACTATTCGTGCAAGCAATGAAAACCAAAAAAAAAAAAAAAATAGAAAATATGAGCGAAAGTGTATATATCAAGTGCGTAATTTCACCTTTAATCTATAAATCCTTGCATAATCGCGTTATTAACACACCGCGTATTACCTTGTACGGACAGGCGGTATTATTGCGGCACTCTTCGGCCACCGTGGGAAAATAGTTGAAGTAATACTTGATGTGATCAGAGGGTAGATCAATGTCCGTGTAATTACTGTACGTGGATGTGACCGCGAACACCATCGCGATCGTCACTGAGTATTTAATACTTAACGCGTAATCGATCATCATAGCGGGATGCACTAATGAAAATTAAACCGGGAGTCCCTGAGAGAAGGTGGCGTGCACTCGCTTTACGGAGTGACTGTATCGG